GAAATACAAGATATCTTTTGAGGATAATTCAATTCGTTTTTCACGAAATTCATATATGGATACCATGCTGAGCGATATAATCAATATATAACCAATCTGTTTTGATATGTCAACGACGAATGAACCAAGATACTTATATCAACATAATAGGTAAAAACTCAGGGTTCCTAATAATCTGTCCCCAGAGATTTATTCTCTATTCTGAACACATTGGTTGAAAAAATATCCAAGACATTCATAACAAAATATCTATATGTAATGCAAGTTTTTCATACCATCCCACAGAGTTATTGCCCGCATTTACCGATTTAGCCATTAGTAATATTTAATCTGGTTTTTTGGCCTACTGTTTTTAATGATGGATTTATTAGATTACTAAGAGTTGTTGTTCTTGTTTAACGTTATATCCAATACTTTCGATTATTTGATAAGTCTGATAAATAGTCTATCAAGAGTTATAACTTTTGTTAAATCATAAAACCAATGACAATTTAAACTGAGAATACCCTACTAATGCTCAGGGTTATCGCCCTTGTTTAAGCATATTATAATGGTAATCTAAACTGAGGATACTTTAATCTAATAAATGATAAAGAGTTTACCAAGAGTTATTGCTCATGTCTATATGATATACATTTCTAATACATTATAATTAGTATAGCAAGGGTTATTTCCCTTGTTTAACGACCAAATCAATAGGAATTTAAACTGAAAATACATTACTCAATTACATGATCATTAGTTCATCAAGAGTTATTGCCCTTTTTTCACAAAATAACCAATTGCAATTCAAACAAAGATACATCACTCAAATACATGATAATTAGTTCAACAGGAGTCACTGCCCTTGTTTAACCATATAACATACAGTAATTCAAATTGTTTAAAAAAAATTACCAATAAACGATAAATTTGATACAAAGTTTATCAAGAGTTATTGCCCATTTTTTCCAATATAACCGATAGGCCTAGTAATTCAAACTATAGTACAGTATGCACATACTCGTACTACGACTATCGACAGGAGAAACACGTCGAAACTGACTGTTGCTTTGCCTATATTATGTTTATTCAGTACTCTAATAAATGATAAATCTGCTGTCAATATAAAGTAATAAATAAACAATATTAAAGCTAAGGTAAACAAATATTATATTATATATACAATAAGTGAAATAATCAACAAACCCAATGTTTGATCTAGATTGGTGGAGAAATTCCTTCTCGCACCTATTGAGTTTTTAGCCGTTTATTTCTTAGTTTTAAAAAAAACAAGCATTTAGCATTAACAATAAACGTCGCACTTTCACATTCCATAACTAGTCCTCTAAACTATACTATGTCTTTTGATCTAAATTGCACCTTGTAATTTTTAGTTTTAATAATTGATTCATTCAGCATTAACAAATTTAAAAAAGTAAATAACCTATCGCATTCTCTCATTCTCGAACTGCAGAGAATACAGTCGATCTTTGATATAGAACTAAAAGCCACCATAGATTAAGTGGGGATCAACTAGCACTGCAGGTTGTAGTAATTTGAAAATATGGGGAAAACAAGGGTTTATTTCAGCTTCCATTACTTAAAGGGACATATGTAATTTTTTCGACCAATCATACTGTAGTCTTAGAAACGGGGATTTTTATAGTGTTTGCAGCTGACCGTCGACATTTGAGCCTTCAAATGCATGTGTGTTCACAATTATCCACTATTGAATGTTAAAATGACGACTCGTCAATTTAAGATACTCTGTTATATAGAAAAGGCATATAGGGAAAGTGAGTAAAATTCTTAGTTTGATGTATGTTTAGAGGAATTTGTAATTTTCGCACATTTCCAGTACTTCTGAAGATCATCTATTCAAGATTAAAATCAACTTCTAAAATGGCGCACCTATCCCTTTTCCAGGCTTGATTTGGGTCTTAAATACCCATACCCAATGTATATGTTAATACATTTCAGAAGAACTAGAAATGTAAGAAAATCGCTTCACCATTACCTCAAACTAGAAAGTCGTATTGATTTGGAGGCTCAAATTAAGACGGTGAGCTGTGAACACTATTAATTATTAGCTAAGATGAAAATTTCCATTTTCTGAGACTAAACTTCAGTTGGTCAAACGGATAGCGGTCGACATATTTTAGTCCCCAGCGCCCTGTACACACAATACATCTGGGACGGCTATGATCATTAATTTCTTCAGTAATTAAAAGCTATGATTAACAAAACATCTACTGTAAAATCGTATTGCGACGATCTTTTCGACTATGACCATGATTTAAAAAATAAAAGTTTGTTACTTCTTTTTCAGAAATAAGGTAATGGAGACAAACGAGTGGAAAATATCATTTACAGAATTATTATCATACTAAAGAGAACCCAACAATAACAGACAGACTTACAAACAGTGAAGTCTATCTAATTAAAGTCTACTATAGAAGATCATTTACCAATTGGTATAGATATCAAGATGGTCATATTGAAAGTTTGAATAGACCTACTACAAAAACATGTTATTTATTCGAGTAAATAATAGGCCATATTGAACACCTATCGGCAATGAATATAGATTTCAATACCCACTCAAACTTCATATTATAACAGTATTTGGTCGGCTATTGTCTGTATATATCAAAGGTGTTTTCAATATTTGACTATACTTTTGTTTAAAGGAACTGTACCATAAAAGATTCTAGGCTACAATACTATTTACACTATTGGTTATCTTACGCACAATATCTAACAAAATTCAATTTCATGGAATACTTTAATTCGACGAGCTAAAAGGTATTTGGAGTTGACAAACCAATTTAAAAGGATTATAAGGTTCCGACAGGATCATTCCAACATTACAACTAAGTCGGAACTGTGAATTGTGTGATATATGAACCCATTTCGTTTCCTATAAAGTTCTGATTTCGTATTTTGAAGTGAACAGATTTCAACCCATCGTTTGATGCTGGAATTCATACCTTTGGCATATGTTTGGCCCTGTTCCATTATGATCTCACTCTAACATATATAACAAATAACAGCCATCAATTTTTCGAAATCCAAACTTTAACTGGAAGAGCACCTTTAAGGCTGTATTTAACTTTCGAAATGGACGATTGGAGCATTTCACGTCATAGTTACGTGAGGCCACGCCTGCTCGGGCAAGTGAAAGAAGAATTTGTATACTCAAATCTTTGTTCAGAACATTCGTTTTTATCGCCGTCTTATGAAATTTTGAAGAGGAAAAATGTGATTTCAAATCAAAACCATGTCAAGATGAAGGAATTAAGAGAAAGTTTGCGTCAGGCTGCTTTGATCAATATAGTAGCGGCAGTAAACGACGGCGATGTTGATGATATGAGTTTAGATAAGGACGAACTTAATGGAAATCAATCCGACCTTAATGGAACATTATGTGATCAATCGAATCAACAAATACATCAAAGTCATACCGACAGATCAAATGATACACCCAAGTTACGGAGTACACGAAGACCAGTTGGGTATCATGAGAGACAGAAGCTGTGTCCAAAGATGAAACTTTCTGACGCCTTGTCTGAGAATTACAGTAAACGAGAGCTGAGTATCTTAGAGGGTCATCAACTTATCACTTCACCACCACTACAAGAGCTAACAACTTATGCTTCACCGAAGAAACGGAAAAAGAAACCCAAACCAAAGCTGGATACGGACCACGACGATACTCTAGTAGTTAAATCTGTCCGGGAATCAGGAACCTATAAGATACTGAGTCAGAAAAAACAACTTTCGTGTTCAAATTTGGTAGTTAATGATTTTGGTATCATAGAAAATTCTTATAGAAATGAAAATATCAGGAATTTGGAAAGAAGTCATGAGGATATAAAAGGTACTCCGGGACTACCAAAAATAACGGAAGTGACATCAGACAAGAAAATCGAATCGGAATTAGAATCTGTATCGAGTAAAGACTCAAAGAGTTCCCAAAAGTGTGTACTTCATATTTCGACCAAGGATGGTGAAATTGGCCGATCTGCCGGATTCTTTCCACCGCCTGGTTTGAATATAAAACGTGAAACTCCGATAATGAAACGTGAATCAAAACTTTCAAAATGTGACGCGGTGGATATTTTAGAATCATCGTCGCCTGATGTGACCGAGAAATCAGTGTTCATTAGTTCACAAAGGGACAGTTTAGGTGAGTTAGGGAACTGTTTATTTGGTCTGAAAAAGACATCATCTCTGCCATCAGTGTCTACTAGCATGAAAAGGAAAAAATTAAAACCAAAGACAGAAAAGGATCTCATAGTGTTGGCAAAGCCTGTTGGTGATAAACCGGTCAAACTTGATGATGGAGTAGTGGGTACTAACATACACGATGCCCAAACGCTGACATCCCGGATTCCCATCAAACCACGTGTGTCTCACATTATTATTCCAACGGATATGTCGATAAGTTCCATTTATCATTTAGCAGAGGAAAGACTTGAAACTCCCAAAGCTTGTCGGGATATCTCCTTAGAAGGCCACGGCCTCCCATCTGTGAATTCCCGCGAAAAGAAAGTACTTCCGGTGCAACCGATCAAAATCGATCTTGGTACTCAGCGAGATTCCGAAACGAAACAACATCTATCTAATCAAATTTATGATTTTCAAGGACTTCCTCTCGATCGGAGTCAAGACGATCAACAAAACGTTCAAGATATTCAACCCATCGTCAGAAAAGCCGGTGTTATCCCGAACTCCTCACCAATTGTGTACTACACACCACGACCACGGCCCATCAACGCAAGTATGTCCACTATTAAGCACGTTGATGAACGAACCCGAGCATCAAATGGTATGACCGCCGAGCAGGACCCATCCTCCTGCGATCCTGATCTAGTGATCCATGCGACCAAAATAGAGGACTCTGCTTCCACGCGTGGTCCATCTCGAGGAACCTCTCGCGGTGACAAACAATACATGACTTCCAAATCCAGGAGCTCTGGATATAAAGGCTCGAATTCAAATCTATCCGACGATGGAATCAGCAAAGACAATGATGACTTGTATGATTCGGACGCCAGTTCGGAAGTCGATATCACTAAAATTGATCCACCGCAGACTCCTATCATGAGGAAGGTGACCTCGTGCGCTTCTGCGAAGCACCAAGGAACATCATCCATGTCGACGAATAATGATAAACGTACTAAACTACACGTAATTAACAATACTGATCTCGGTAAAGAAACAACTGTGAAGATACTGAAATCGTACGATCAGGAATTGTATGCTGACTTCACACATCGAAAACACAGAAATTCTCATTTTGCAAAAAGCGGTGATGATGATTCTAAAGTTGTACTTGTAAAAGTCCGGTATTCAAACAAGGAACCTGCAGAGCCCAACCAGACTATAGAAGAACATAGTGACGACAGTGACAGCGATTGAACTAATTTCTGTATTACATTGAGACCAGTCTCCATGAAAGTACTGAGCAAGATCTCAAAGCTCTAAGAGAAACGATATGCCCGAGATTTCAAAGTTCTGACTATTTCTGTATAAATGTGCATTGAGACGAATTTCCGCGAAATTCCTCACCAAGATCTCAAAGCTCTAACTATTTTAGTTATATATGGTGATGATAACAATGGAAGTTGTAAATTAAACCAAGGTGTCGTGTTCCATTCAAATGTGGTTTATTATTTAATATACAATATTTGATTACAAATTCAGTGATTGATAAGAAATAACAATGATTGGATCGATTATATCACATTTTTATTCATTTATAAAGATTAAAATAAATATTGTTAAAATTGTGATCTTCCCAATACACTCTTGATTTTTGGATGCTGAAAAGCAAAGAAAAAGACCATCATAGAAATTTTCAGCTGATCTCTGTTGGTTTCAAAGGTTTGATGGCAATCTAGTTTTAGTAGTTTTACTTCAAAATATGTTCACACGTATCTCCAAAAATGAAGACTTTTATTCGATATTGATAGAATTAGGAAAATGAAAGCATATATATGGGCTTGGGGTGACTAGGGGCCTTTATACATCATCATGTCCTAGCCATCAAAGAAAGACCTGTAGGAATAACTTACCCATCGATTCTACTCCAGGTATAGAACCTGAAAAATAACATGCATGGACTATTAGCATCTTTAATAATGCAAAAGTGTTACAGTTACAAGAGATAGCGCATTTCCAAAATTATCATAATCAGAATGATTTTAAAACAAACGTTAGAAGAGATCGTTGCTGTAAAACTAAGACAGGATCATCATGATTATGGTACCTTTAAACATTTACAGGCGCCAGTTTACCCTTATTCAGTGGCGTTTCATATGGTGAGGGGGCTGGGTAAAGGTCACAGAATGGCCAAAACGCCACTGCCTTTATTATAGTCGATTGTTGTTCCATAAAGCTTTGTCTATATATCATACTTACAATAAATGCCATTTTAAAACATTTTTGCTTTTTATGTTGTGAAATAAATACAATTGAGAAACATTTAATGTTACATACTTGTACATTTGGCATCAACTTTCGGTTTCCACTCGACGGAACCATCAGAAGTTGGTAGACAGGTATAATGAGTTGTCCCGGACAATAAACCAGATTTACAACCAGTGATAGTTATAGAACTGTTGATGTTATAGTTAAAACTACTCTTTTTACCTCGTGGTACATCTAATAGACCACATGCATCAACTGGAAAATACGATGACGACATAAAATAACTCCAAAATATGAAACAAAATACTGCACCATTATACTAACGAAGATACAGAACAAGCTATATAACGATCTATCACATCAGTTGTAAAGGGTATCAGAAATTAGGCTTTCAGATATAGCGATTGCATGTCATCATAAATTTAATCATTTTCCGTATTCGATGACGGAGACAGAGTGCATACGACAGCTATATTCTTGAGTCTAAGCGACAGTCATTGAACAAATGGAGTAGAAAACTAATTATTATATCGGTTCGGTCCCCATGCGGTTGTCGTTTAACCATAACGGCTTAGAGACATCTTAGTAAAGTCTACCTGGTATTTGGTAAGATTGTATTTGGTGATACCAATCCTCTGCGTGTAGCGATGTTGTGGCCACATCCTCGGATGCTGTAGCTCTATAATCAAACTGGCATACGTCAGAATCTCCACATAGAGCTTTAACAGATTCTTCTGTCACATCACTAGGTAAGGGAGGTAACTCAAATATAGGTTCGAATGAACTGTCAGTCATTGAATACTGAAACAGATTGTCAGCTTCTGATACAATCCCTGCAAAATAAAACAAGCCAACCATGAGCTTTCAAAAGTTCACCGAGGGAGGGACATGGTGTGACATGAAATCCCCCCTAATTTTAAAAAAAGGTTCTTCTTAAACATAATACACCTTCATATCGTCTAGAGTTCAATAGAAAATTGATGGGTGTCAATTAGGTGACTGGTTCACAATATCCAGCCTTACAACAGACTCCAGGTATATTACGAATTCATAATTCATATATTAAGAAATTAACCAGGCAAACCTACATTGGGAAGTGAAACTGGTGTAAATCTCTGTTGGTAATAAACTTGAAGACAATAAACTACCATCAGGTTGTTTCAGCTTGTTCTTCTCATTATCAGACCACGATCCTAATAATCCACTTGATATATTCTGATAATTAGAAACATCTGTCATTACAATGAGCGGAGGAATTAATTCAATGTTAGTAACAAAATGAAACTGGTAATATCTCACCCATCATCCAAGGTTATCAAATTTATTGCATTGAAAAGTTCTGCACATATAATAAGCGTTACAACAAAGGCATGGTCATTTAAAAAGTGACGCGAATATTAGTTAGATGGCGGTTTCAATTCCACGACTCGTGACACTTGGGAAATGATGGGTGCTAAATTGTCTGAATTCAATAATAAACCCAACGTTTGTAAAGTATATTACATACAAAAATACAAGATAAGTAAACCTACCTTTAAAGATTGTGGTAGAACCACAAAAACTACTAGACGATCCTGTTTAACCCCTACCCGTATACCAACATCACTGTTTAATATTATAGTAAAATTATCATGCCTGTCTTCCCTTGTTTCACTGTTGATTATCGTTAATCCTGCAAGCGATTTCACAAATACATGTAAACAGAATAGGCTGTGTAAATTCATCAGTATAATCGAAGTTTCTCCACTCAAATTGGGGTGCTGTGGCTCAATTTATTTTCGTTAATTTGAATGTCCAGGGTTCAATCCGGCATAGGTCGACATAACACCTTCGGAATTTGTAACCCGGTTCCTCATTGTGGGCATGGACATGGTCGATTGGATAGGTCAAAACCCAAGGCCCCGTGTGCTACAGGCATGTTTAAGAGCAATAGAAGGATTGAAATCGATTTCCCGTCATCATTAGCCCAATCTTATTAAAGCCCCATTCATTTCATTTCAATTTCAAATACAGACCACAGAAGTTTTAAAATATCTTTTAAAAGTGAAGTTATTTCCCTTGAATTAAATTTCCTAGCGAAATGATTTGAACTTTCTACACCGGAATTGACAATAGACACTGTGAAGATGGGGCAATATGGACAATATATTAATCACATTATAAACGCGGTTTCTTCTCCTTGAACATCGATATAACGCTCCGATTACCGTAAGACAATAAATAATAAACATATAGTTTACCCCTTAAATCCTGCCATTTGGTTGACTTAGTATCAAATGTCTTGATATCATCATCTACCAGGACAGTCAGTTTACGGCTATTAGCTGAAAAGGGCTTGGATATTCTTACTTCTATTTTAGAACTTGACTTGTCTTTTACCGTAATACCAATTAGAGCGGTGGAATTCAGATTTTCTTTTACTAGAAAGAAAATTATAATGAACTTAAAAAAGCGCATTGAGTTCGAAATTGTACTTGGTTGTTCCACGGGTTCCACCATGGTTTAGCCATCAAGCAGGGTACATACAGGCAGAAGAATGATATCGTAAGCCTATACACAAAGGCTAAAAAATGAAAACAATGTGATGATTTGTCCTGGTATCTTGGATCTGATCAAAACACCTTTTTTAGCAATATGGTCTCTCCGTATTAGCAATATCCCGCATAGTGTTTTACAAAGTATGTCTTAGTGCAGATAGTGGATACTTACCTCGGTTGAATCGACCCTGAATTTTCATATTTGGTGTTTTCACCAACCAGAAATCTCCTTCCCCAACACCATTCAATGAGATTCCATCAAATCTTAACAGATGGGATTCTCCGAATATAGCAGCTTAAAACAAAAACGTAAGAGAATGATATAATTATATTATTACAGGATGTAAACGGAATCTTAAGCTTCAGCTTACCACGTATAGGGAAAATGAAAGCACACAGCACGAAGCTATGATAAATTTGGACACGGAATTACTACTGAGAAGCTTTCATCAAGCAGATATCCAGACATGTAAGATACGTCGTATGTCGCGTGACCGCGGACTCTCTTGTTGAATGCAGACAAAATATCTAAAAGTTACCAGTTTTCGGTGGTTTGTAGTTTTTACAGTCTCGAGTGGCTCTCTGTTCCATGTAGTAATCACAATACTTATATTCTACCCACAGACAGCAGTAATAAAATGTCACTACATCATGTTTCCAATGGGATAACGATGGGACACGGTTCGGTTTGTTGTAAGGTTCAGCACCCCAGTCATGACTCCTATCCGGAGTTGAACCTTGGTAAGAATCTGCAGCATAACGAACATTACCATCCCGACCATAACAACACTGGTTACCAGATCCGTCAGCTTCTCTGAAACAATGTAATATAACCCAATGAATCGATGTTGTTTTAAGCAAAATGAGAAGGTGCTTGTAGAGAGATTAATCAATGGCGAGTGTTCTTGATCCAACATCGCCTTTGACACCCATCGGATGTCTAATTGTTATCTTAACATTCGTCTGGGTGATTTTCACTGCAACGGAAATGAGATACAAGCTGTCCCCTTAAATTGTAAATTGTTAGAGATTTTGCATTTCAACAACACCATTCCACACGAACTAAATTTTTGACTTACGTGGGTTTAAATGCTCTGGCACAGTGTATTGCTCCTATGTGATATTTACAAATACTGCCTTTAAATATACTGCAACCTGGATCGTCCTGCCATCGACCAAAATCAGTTAAAGCTTGATTCAGTGTACAGGGACAATCCAGGAGATTTTCTGCCCACGACATGTCCTGTTTGTCAGCTTTGTACCAGTCCACACATTTAACTTGTGACCAGTCTTTACCATATTCCGCTACCATATGATCCACCACATACCAACCTATTGGTGTTACATAGGATATGAGGAACCTACAAGAATGGCAATGATTCATCACAATCTGATTAAAAATGAACATCAATATGAGAGAGTATATACCTCCCCTCCTTTGAAATACAGTTCGGTTTGGCTGGCTGCCAATTGGTTGATGACATGGTACTGTCTGCATCCAGCTAAAGCTAGACTGTCGCGGACTAATCCATATTTCCTTCGCTCCACAGCAGAATTCTCAATTTCTACAGTTGACACATAATCCTTTGACAGCTATTTTTTATGGGATAAACTTTCTAAAAGATATGATTTAGATGCATTAGCCAAACACGGAAACTCTCTGAAAAAAATGAACACTTAACCTACCCATATTGGCTGTTTTCGATCACGTACTCTTCATCCAACTGAATTTGAATTTGAGCAATTTCAAACAAATTGCAGTCGTCTCCCTTACATCTATGTTCCGATGGATTAAAGATCAATTCGCCATTATTTGGTACATCCTCTCCGAGAATATCTAACGTTTTCCAAATAATCTGAAAATAACCCAAAGAACTCATGATGACTCAATTAGTTTTAATGAAATGTGGAAATTTGTGTAATTTTGTAATTTAAAGGATGATTCTAACGTTGGTATGTCGGTGGATTATGTTTTGTGAAGCTGAAATTGAACAATTCAAAATAAACTCAGAAAAATTATAAGGCAACAGGTCGAAAACAACAAAACAAAGTTTACTTATATTTTTGAGAAATATAATCGAGCCATGAAGTTATATAGAAGTTACTAAATATGACTGTAGACGTTGCCATGTCTACCTCACCTGGTCGCTTGTTTCTCTGTAGCCTATCAGTTTAACATCTACAGTAGAATTCTCAACTTCTGATAAAAACTTGCTTTCCCATCTGACAGTCAGAGTCTTAGCATCCCTGTCACTCATATCATCAGGCAGATAGACATAGCGCTTTGTTCTACTGGGATGCGCTGTAAAAAGAAGAGATCTAGCATCTAGGAATGATTAGGTAGGGGTGGGGCGAATAGCCAGTGGCATTAGGTGAGAGGGCCGAGATGGGGGCACAAGATTATCCGAGGGCGGGAGGACCATTCTTTCATTTGAAAGTTTTGGGGCAAAGTTATGATTGAACCAATCCAATGCATATTTAGTAACAGCTTGACACAAATCTTTGAAATTCATTTCATTTCGTTCTGAACGGGTTTTGGATAAGGAGATTGATACTAGAATCCTCTTATTCAATCTCAACTTGTCAATGGTTCAGTAGGTGATAATTTAACGTCTATTTGTCGACTGATCATAGTCGACCATAGTCCAAAGGTATATCGAGTGATAGTTGTATAGTAGTAGACTCCTCTAAGTGCCATCAGGTGTTTCGAAAATAGTAAAGAGTAACTTGTTTTGTACTAACCTACATTGAGGTAGGTTGATAAACCGGAACTGGCTCCGTCTAACAATACCTCTAAAGGAACCAGGCCCTTGGCTGATAACATTGGTGTCACACATCGGTACAGCATAGTAGAGGTGTACACAGCGTCCACTGGATCATTGATACCAAATTTACATTGAACCCTGGTGGTGTTGGCGATACATAAGCCTGATATATCAATTATCTCACCTCCAAACGAACTCGGTGCATGTGGATATACCTCGAGTTTTCCTGTATATATCAAGATTTACACATTTAAAGGGACATATGCGGCATCATGATATGTAAATAGTCTTCAGAAGTACTAGAAATGTACGAAAATCGCATAATTCCTTTGATAATACTTCAAACTGGGAATTTTACGCACTATTTCTATATATGTCGTTTGAAACTTTTCTATTTATAAAGAGTATCTTGACGAGACGTCATTTCAACATTCAAGCATAGATAATTCTTGACATACATGGATTTGAAGGCTTAAATTTCGACGGTATTACTGATTGGCTAAGCTAAACAATTCCCGTTTCTGAGATTAAAGTGTGATTGGTAAAAAATGGCGCATCTTTCCCTTTAAGCTTCTCCATGAATACCAATTCCACACTGAAATCGTTTAAACACCACGCACCATTGCTTCATAGCCCTTCTGATCTTGTGATTGAGTTGACTCAACAGGCACTCTATTTTAGTATTTGTATAAGTAAGAAACCTATGAGCTGAATCAACAAATGACACAAGAGGTCGTAACCATTTCGTATAAAGACTATTTCATGCAAGCGGCAACTGACCTGTGGACGATTGTGATGGAAGACATCCGCCTCTAACAATGATCTCGTTTGTCACTTTATACATAAATCTACCCTTGACGTCACTTCCTGCTAAACTGGGGAACTCAGCGAAGTTTATCTGAGAACAATCTGAACCACAATAAACATCCGTCCATCCGCCATTTAGTCCTCCGTTGAAACCAGCCTACAAATGAATAACTCCAAATTAGTAAATGGAGAGTGCAAAAAATATCTATGGATTGGATCCTTACCCATTTGACAAAAAATAGTTTTAGTACTAATGACAAAGTTACGAAAGCCCAAGGGTAAAGCTGAGGTTGAAAGGTTGAAAGGCAAAAATAATATTGTATTTTTTATCACTCTCTCAGTTAGTCAAGTTAGTCCAGGGTTGCCTTCAATAACCCATCAGAAAACTAGGACGTTAGACACCATTTTCGTCTTATTATTGCGGCAAGTCGAACAAAGGTCTGTTTAACCCAATTTAACAAGTGTTCCGGTCTCTGAAAAAGAATTTACAAACCCTGTATCAGATTTGCATCAGACGGGTCCCGAAGAGTAAACCCAAATTCAATACAAATTTGTAGGTAAGAGATTAATGTGAGAATAAGTTGTTCTTAATTTCAATATCATCTACCTACCTGATGGTATGGACTAGAAGGTAAATCCATTTTCTGGTAGTTGAAAATAACAAATGTGTCCTTATTATTGCTAGTATATACAACTTGAAATGTGTTTGTCTGAAATATGTAAGATCATGTTAAATTGTTCTCTATATATTCTTCATTGAAATCTTAATTGCTGTAATGCAGGGTTTTCAGCCTGGGGGTAATCACTTCCAAGAGAGTAACTTTTGGGAGGTTATGTCGCGCTTTATAGTCAAGAATAAATCGTGGGACAATTATAATCTAACTTGTTCTATTCAGTCAGGCTTA